TACTGTTTGGATTTACGGGGTTGCATATAACAATAAGCTTTTGTCTGGTTCCACTTTGAATTAAGTATAAAATTTGTGGACATTACTCAAACGTCAAATGTCGTAGGAAAAGACGACCCCTGCGTGATGTAAAATAAGGCAACAGAATAACGAGGGGCGTTATATTGGTTCTAAATTATCAAATCTCGAATCATGGCCCCTGCCAATGATATTTGCTCAAGTGATGTTTTGAAAGAACTGCAGTTTCAGCCCGACTTTGATCCTTCTTGTGTTGTCATGAACTGAATAAACATAATATCAAGCAATAGTATCGATTTGATCTGATACTTTATGTCCGGATCAATTCAGCCTCGCTAATGGCGTTATACCCATGAGATTCCTGGATTCCAAATACAAGACTTGACAGCTGTCTGAAACGTGTTCTTTGTAAAGGAATAAATGGTTCTCATTCGCCATGTTGAGTGTATTATCAGTCTATTCTATTATGCTAAAATATGAGAGATAACCTTGGCCTCGTTCACCACCAATGTTTCGTGTCGGAAATGACGTCAATCACTCCGAACAAAAGAAGATATAAATCTATGTTTGTGGGTTGCTAAAGATGAAACAAACGAGATGTGGTTATTCGATTATGATGCATTTGAACAGGGTTTAGAAGTTGTATATTGGACCTTAAGTCTGCAGTATTTCGGCACCTGTTTTCTGCTTACCAATGATGACTTTCAAATGTTTGTTGGTCAGTTATCATTTAAACCGGGCCTTGGTTCTCGCTTCCTCTCGACGAAGAACGGAGGACATCATGTGACGTTTTAGAACGACCTTTCATTTAACCAATCAGATAGTCTCTTGCCAGAACAGGAAAGTGACAATCGGAACGTGTTTTCTAATCACGCAATCTCGTAAGGGTTAACACGGGACATTCCGAACGACAGTTACCGGCTTTAGGAATGAATCCGTCAAAATCATCGTCTCTCTCTTCAGCGGGATAAACAACTGAATCAGAGGAGACCCTTCAAAACCCGTAGGAAGTACTGTTGTACAATCTCAGTCATTCCTGAATGTTCTTTAAAATATAAAGCATATCATGCTGTCTCAGAAATGTAGCATAGCACGCTCTGTCTCAGAAGTGAAGCATAACATGCTCTGTTTCAAGCATGAAGCATAACATGCTCTGTCTCAACAGTGAAGCATAACATGCTCTGTCTCAACAGTGAAGCATAACATGCTCTGTCTCAACAGTGAAGCATAACATGCTCTGTCTCAACAGTGAAGCATAACATGCTCTGTATCAACAGTGAAGCATAACATGCTCTGTCTCAACAATGAAGCATAACATGCTCTGTCTCAACAGTGAAGCATAACATGCTCTGTCTCAACAGTGAAGCATAACATGCTCTGTCTCAACAATGAAGCATAACATGCTCTGTCTCAACAGTGAAGCATAACATGCTCTGTCTCAACAGTGAAGCATAACATGCTCTGTCTCAACAGTGAAGCATAACATGCTCTGTCTCAACAATGAAGCATAACATGCTCTGTCTCAAGCATGAAGCATAACATGCTTTGTCTCAACAGTGAAGCATAACATGCTCTGTCTCAGAAGTGAAGCATAACATGCTTTGTCTCAACAGTGAAGCATAACATGCTCTGTCTCAAACGTGAAGAATAACATGCTCTGTCTCAAACGTGAAGAATAACATGCCGGAACAAGCTCTTTTTGAGGAATGGTGCAGAATCTACCATGTCATCCGTACCGTGGGTGCCACTTCGCATGGACGCACAAGGACGTTGCACATAAGGCACTAGAAAATCCAAAACAAACCTGTCATGTCTATGTCATTTTGAAATTCACTTTTTGGAAACCATCTTCCGTTCATACCTCATTTCGAAGAGGTTTACATATTGTTTGGCTACGGTTTGGCTTATATAATCTGATATTATAAACATTCAATATTATTATACATGGTTTGATAATCATATCTTCATGGAAAGTTTCTGTTGTCAGTTCATGGATGGCTTGTAGAGTTAAGCCATTTATCGGCAAGTGTGTGATCACTGGACGTGCCCCATGTGTGTCCATATTTCAAAGATTACAGATCACTGCCTTTTAGCTGACCAGTCAAAGACTGAACTCAGTTGACGTTAATGTTTATGACATTGTGTAATGTCAACAACAAAATTGAATCATTACATAAACCGAATATTTATACGTGTTAGCCATTTCACAGACTCAGATAATAAAGTTGTTTGTCGTAGACATACACTATTTATCTGCTACACATTCAGATGGTACAAGGGTCTATATTACTGTGCAGGTCTGTGTTAACTGCGCTGATACTCAAAAAGTGGAATGTATAACCTGATTTAGACTCAGAGAAACTGGAAACAAATATACTGTGATAGGCCCCAAGGAACTAGGTCTGTAAAAAAACTAGGGCTGCACAATATAACCGGTTTACCGGTATTTACCGGTTCAGACATGAAATCAATACGTATTGCGATACCCGGATCGAAAACCAGTTTTTCGACATGCATTCGGAAAACTTCGTAACTCTCGGAAATCTTTGGATATTTCCGTTTTTCACACAGGAAATCAAGTGAAGTTCGGTTTGAAGTTGTGTTCTTATTTTTTGTTCAAGTGTTTGGCAAAGTTTTGGATCTGAATGTTATATATTTACTCATTAATGACCAGTGATCCCTGATATGTCCTGACCAGGTCAAGTTGCTGTCTATAATCTCGGGGCTTGTTTGATAGTGGAGAAACTAATTCAAATAAGTAACCACTGTGTTGATGTTTTCATTGTTTCCTTCATTTTAACATGATTAAATGTTTTTATTCAAGCTTAATCAAGCATAGTGATTTCGTTGTGTTTTTCCTTTATAAATCAAGCATTAACTCGATTATAAGTAAGTTTTGGTGAAGAAAATATTCTTGCAATATATTGCAATACGTATCGCAATATATGCTTTCGAATCGCAACATATCGCAATATGAAATTCTCTGCAATACCCACCCCTAAAAATTCCCCTACAAATATAGAACGTCAGTGCAAAAGAATACCCAATCTTGACGATACTCAGAAACACATTTAGTTTTGTGTATAGGGAACAGTAGCTTTTAATCAAAGGATCAAAAAGAAGGGTAAGAATGTACCAGTAACCTAAAATGGCCGCATTCAGCTATTCCAGCTATATGGTCGCGGACTGTAAATGATCGAGACTTGCCCAGACTTGCCCAGACAATCCAGTGATCAGCATTTAAGCATCAATCTTCGCAATTGGGCTAATGTATATGTAAGATAAGAAGGGTAATCGTATAAATGAGTTTCAAAGACGGACTCACTGGTAAACCTGGAAGGACGGTAACCGTTTACATTGTTCTATATACAAGCACACAAAAAGTAATGAGATAGAATATAATCTGTTATATTTCACATGTCTAAATATAGTCAATGACCGTTTGGATTTGAGATCCTCTAGGTAAACACATATTTTGATTTGTAATTTGTTTTACAGCACGCAGAACTATTCCAACTATAATTGTATATTGCAAGGAATGAGGTAAGGTGAGGTGAAAATAGGTTTAACGTCGTGTTCGAGAATATTTCGCTCATATGACGACGTGCATGCGTGTGTATGTGCATGTGCGGCTGCTTGTACTAGCCCAGACTGAAGCTGATTTATAGTGCTAGCTCACTGAGATACCATGCCGCAGTGAAGCATGAATACCCCACTCAGACACATTATACTGACTCCGAGCCGACCAGTCCTTGTTGTACCCATGAATGCCGTGCGCCAGGCAGGGACCAACAAGTACCATATTTTAACGTCTTTTGGTATGACGCGGTCGGATCGAACCTGCGACCTTCCGCTCTCCGGGAGGACGCTCTAACCACTACACCACGGAGGCGGTCTGCAAGGAATGAACCGGAACCAGTCATGCAAGTGGCGGACGCCAGACCATCCGATCCTTCTATCCGGGGACGCAGCGTCTTTCTGAAGAGGGATGGTAGGTTGACGACACCCAGGCCGCTTTACACCTAGATACTTAATGAGATGTTACTAATTGTTACCCTGCCTGGGCTTGACATTATTGCGATCAGACAAACACTGATGTCAGTATACTGTGAACGAGTGGGTGCCCATGTTGATCTGCATGGTATCTCGGTGGGGTAGATGTATAAAACCCGGCAGATGCCTGGACTTGCACCAGGAGTCACACACTGTCTCAACCTCGAATATTTTTTGTAAGGAAGTTAAATCACATTTCACCTCACCTCCATGTCGATTTATGGAAAGCGTGAAGAGATGGGGAATTGAACCGGAACAGTCACTGGGGCAACTCTGGCCCTTGAACTCATAAAGATAATGACTGCATACTTATAAATGCCAATTTTAGATAGTCACACTGTCGTAACGTGAAGTCTGTCTATAAATTTACAGAAAGTAATCTATATCAACACTTATAAAAAGCAAGAGAAGATAATCTTCAGCCCCTGAGTGGGCGAATCTTGTACTTGTCCAACTTCGATCGGAAGCAAATATCGTATATTTAGTTTCCAGTACATCCATTTTCTACACTTAAACAACAGAGAACATATCCTTCAATGACATTGATGAACCTTTTTATCAACGGCGCCCAGCAACGACGGACAATACAACTCTCCACCATCGACTAGTTAAGGTTCTATTCCAAGTAGACAGTGCCTACCCGTGCTTTACCCTTACAATCAACAATCTGGATCAAATGTAGGCAAATACACTACCGTCGGCATATTTACGAATAGTTCCTCTTTTTGCGTCAATATTCAGTGACTATTGCTAGACACCTGACTGCCAACACTGTTTACCGCTGTCACTGCGGGTCGATGTCTTGGAATCGGGTACTAGACACTGAAATCGTTAGACCACATACCCACGTTACACAGCGCTTGCTTCCCCTTGGTTCCATATCTTAAACTCTGCTGGTCATATTTACGGGTGGTTCGCGCTTCTATTACTGAGGCCTCAAACTGTCCCAACACGTCTCGAATGAATCAATACATACAGTGTGCGTTAGAATTGACTAGCACAGTGTCACCATCCGCTGAGCCTGGACTTGCGAAGATCTCGGAGGACGGAGCAGACGACAGGTAAACGGGCAGACGACACCTGAACGACAATCAAGCAGAGTGGTCCTTTTCGAGGAGACAGTGTGAAAGCAGTTGTTTGGGTCATACATCCTTTTTCTCAGTGACTTTTGGTGGCAATTCACCAAGATATTCAAGGGATATATATAAAGCCAGTTTACTGAACATACAGTCATGTGTGCCATGTTCTTCAGGTTGAAGAAGCCGGGCAAGGACGAGAAGATCGTCACAAGGTGAGACATTTTTGCCACCTGTCATTTTATCATTTTGTCGCGGTTTTCAAAGGTTGTCCATGTATTCATCATGTTCGAATACTCTGTGTGTGTGTGTGTGTGCGTTTGTGTGTGTGTCTGTGTGTGTGTGCGTTTGTTTGTGTTCGTGTGTGCTTCAAACGACAGTCGAATAGTATAATTTTGTCATAGATTCTTTATTCGTAACTACAACATGCTACTTTGTATTTAAGATTAAGTTGTTTTCTTGTCAGAACGCATGGCTGACTATTTAGAGCGTACAGTAGGTTCACTAATGTACGTGCATCGCCGCTCGTTAGTATAAACCAAAACGGCAGGTGTTGTCGTGTTACCATGGTTTAAAATTCGCACAAAGATGGAGTTCCGTCCCCTTCCTTCACAGTTTGGGTAGGTATTATTGAAATTTATGAATGAGTCTTTTCTACAAGAAGTGTCATTCATCTCACATTTGGTCAACCAGTCATGGCTGACTGAACAGTGAATGATTAAATACGAATGTGTATGTCTTCATCTGAAAGTTAAGCAAATCTTTAACTGAGGTGTGTGCACTATTAAACTAATAAAAAAATAATTTGTATAATTTGTGGGAAAAGTCATATGACTGTTAACGTTATAGCGCCTCACAAGAAGCTTGGGTTAACCGGGGTAATGCGTGGATACAGGTGCTTAATAAGTAACCATCGTTATGATTATCACTATTGTTAGAACTGAACTGATACTCGGTCGAGGAGGATCAGACAGGAGTTCATATCAGCTTGTCTTGACCCTTTTGGTGCCAAGGGACAATATGCGGTCCCTCACTATTCACACTCCGTTAGTGCTAAAACACAATATGTGGTCCCTCACTATTCACCCCGTTAGTGCCAAGGGACAATATGTGGTCCCTCACTCTTCACACCCAGTTAGTGCCAAGGGACAATATGTGGCCCTCACTTTTTTCACCCTGTTAGTGCTAAAAGACAATATGTGGCCCCCCACTATTTGCACACCGTTAGTGCTAAAAGACAATATGTGCCCCACACACACACACACTATTCACCTCGTTAGTGCCAAGGGACAATATGTAGCTCCTCACTATTCACACCCCGTTAGTGCCAAGGGACAATATGTAGCTCCTCACTATTCACACCCCGTTAGTGCCAAGGGACTATATGTGGCCCGCACTATTCACCCCGTTAGTGTTAAGGGACAATATGTGGTCCACACTATTCACACCCCGTTAGTGCCCAGGGACAATATGTAGTCCTTCACTACTCACCTCGTTAGTGCCAAGGGACAATATGCGGTCTCTCACTCTTCACACCCCGTTAGTGCCAAGGAACAATATGTGGCCCACACTATTCACACCCCGTTAGTGCCAAGGGGCAATATGTGGCCCACACTATTCACCCCGTTAGTTCCAAGGGACAATACGTGGTCCACACTATTCACACCCCGTCAGTGCTGGGGGGCAATAGGGGGTCCACACTATTCACACTCCTTTAGTGCCAAGGGACAATATGTAGCCCCTCACTATTCACACTCCTTTAGTGCCAAGGGACAATATGTGGACAACACTATTCACCCCGTTAGTGCCAAGGGACAATATGTGGTTCACACTATTCACACTCCGTTAGTGCCCAGGGACAATATGTGGCCCACACTATTCACACCCCGTTAGAGCCAAGGGACAATATGTAGCCCCTCACTATTCACACCCCGTTAGTGCCAAGGGACAATAAGTGGCCCCTCACTATTCACACCCCGTTAGTGCCAAGGGGCAATATGTGGTCAACACTATTCATCCCGTTAGTGCCAAGGGACAATACGTGGCCCACACTATTCACACCCCGTTAGTGTCAAGGGACAATATGTAGCCCCTCACTATTCACACCCCGTTAGTGCTAAGGGACAATATGTGGCCCGCACTATTCACCCCGTTAGTGCCAAGGGACAATAAGTGGCGCACACTATTCACACCCCGTGAGTGCCAAGGGGCAATATGTGGTCAACACTATTCACCCCGTTAGTGCCAAGGGACAATAAGTGGCCCACACTATTCACACCCCGTTAGTGCCAAGGGACAATATGTAGCCCCTCAATATTCACACCCCGTTAGTGCCAAGGGACAATATGTGGCCCGCACTATTCACCCCGTTAGTGCCAAGGGACAATATGTAGCTCCTCACTATTCACACCCCGTTAGTGCCAAGGGACAATAAGAGGCCCACACTATTCACACTCTGTTAGTGCCAAGGGGCAATATGTTGTCAACACTATTCACCCCGTTAGTGCCAAGGGACAATAAGTGACCCACACTATTCACACCCCGTGAGTGCCAAGGGGCAATATGTGGTCAACACTATTCACCCCGTTAGTGCCAAGGGACAATAAGTGGCCCACACTATTCACACCCCGTTAGTGCCAAGGGACAATATGTAGCCCCTCACTATTCACACCCCGTTAGTGTTAAGGGACAATATGTGGTCCTCACATTTCACCCCGTTAGTGCCAAGGGACAATATGTAGCTCCTCACTATTCACACCCCGTTAGTGCCAAGGGACAATAAGTGGCCCACACTATTCACCCCGTTAGTGCCAAGGGACAATATGTGGTCCACACTATTCACACTCCGTTAGTGCCCAGGGACAATATGTAGTCCTTCTCTACTCACCTCGTTAGTGCCAAGGGACAATATGTAGCCCCTCACTATTCACACCCCGTTAGTGTTAAGGGACAATATGTGGTCCTCACATTTCACCCCGTTAGTGCCAAGGGACAATATGTAGCTCCTCACTATTCACACCCCGTTAGTGCCAAGGGACAATAAGTGGCCCACACTATTCACCCCGTTAGTGCCAAGGGACAATATGTGGTCCACACTATTCACACTCCGTTAGTGCCCAGGGACAATATGTAGTCCTTCTCTACTCACCTCGTTAGTGCCAAGGGACAATATGTGGTCCCTCTCTCTTCACATCCCGTTAGTGCCATGGGACAATATGTGGCCCACACTATTCACACCCCGTTAGTGCCAAGGGGCAATATGTGGCCCACACTTTTCACCCCGTTAGTGCCAAGGGGCAATATGTGGCCCCTCACTATTCACACCCCGTTAGTGCCAAGGGACAATATGTAGCCCCTCACTATTCACACTCCGTTAGTGCCAAGGGACAATATGTACCCGCTCACTATTCACGCCCCGTTAGTGCCAAGGGACAATAAGTGGCCCACACTATTCACACCCCGTTAGTGCCAAGGGACAATATGTAACCCCTCACTATTCACACCCCGTTAGGGCTTAGGGACAATAAGTGGCCCACACTATTCACACCCCGTTAGTGAAAAGGGGCAATATGTGTTCAACACTATTCACCCCGTTATTGCCAAGGGACAATAAGTGCTCCACACTATTCACACCCCGTTAGTGCCAATGGACAATATGTAGCCCCTCACTATTCACACCCCGTTAGTGCCAAGGGACAATAAGTGGCCCACACTATTCACACCCCGTTAGTGCCAAGGGACAATATGTGGCCCTCACTTTTCACACCCCGTTAGTGCCAAGGGACAATATGTAGCCGCTCACTATTCACACCCCGTTAGTGCCAAGGGACAATAAGTGGCCCACACTATTCACACCCCGTTAGTGCCAAGGGACAATATGTAGCCCCTCACTATTCACACCCCGTTAGTGCTAAGGGACAATAAGTGGCGCACACTTTTCACACCCCGTTAGTGTCAAGGGACAATATGAAGCCCCTCACTATTCACACCCCGTTAGTGCCAAGGGGCAATAAGTGGCCCACACTATTCACACCCCTTTAGTGCCAAGGAACAATATGTGGTCCCTCACTATTCACACCCCGTTAATGCCAAGGGACAATATGTGGCCCACACTATTCACACCCCGTTAGTGCCAAGGGACAGTATGTGGTCCCTCATTGTTCACCCCGTTAGTGCCAAGGGACAATATGTGGCCCACACTATTCACACCCCGTTAGTGCCTAAAGAAACTATGTAGTCCCTCACTATTCACACCCCGTTAGTGCCAAGGGACAATATGTGGCCCGCACTATTCACCCCGTTAGTGCTAAGGGACAATATGTGGTCCACACTATTCACACACCGTTAGTGCCAATGGACAATATGTAGTCCTTCACTACTCACCTCGTTAGTGCCAAGGGACAATATGTGGTCCCGCACTATTCACACCCCGTTAGTGCCAAGGGACAATATGTGGCCCTCACTCTTCACACCCCGTTAGTGCCAAGGGACAATATGTGGTCCCGCACTATTCACACCCCGTTAGTGCCAAGGGACAATATGTGGCCCTCACTTTTCACACCCCGTTAGTGCCAAGGGACAATATGTAGCCGCTCACTATTCACACCCAATTAGTGCCAAGGGACAATAAGTGGCGCACACTTTTCACACCCCGTTAGTGTCAAGGTACAATATGAAACCCCTCACTATTCACACCCCGTTAGTGCCAAGGGGCAATAAGTGGCCCACACTATTCACACCCCGTTAGTGCCAAGGAACAATATGTGGTCCCTCACTATTCACACCCCGTTAATGCCAAGGGACAATATGTGGCCCACACTATTCACACCCCGTTAGTGCCAAGGGACAGTATGTGGTCCCTCATTGTTCACCCCGTTAGTGCCAAGGGACAATATGTGGCCCACACTATTCACACCCCGTTAGTGCCTAAAGAAACTATGTGGTCCCTCACTATTCACAGCCCCTTAGTGCTAAGGGACAATATGTGGTCCCTCACTATTCACACTCCGTTAGTGCTAAAAGACAATATGTGGTACCTCACTTTTCACACCCCGTTAGTGCTAAGGGACAATATGTGGTACGTCACTATTCACACTCAGTTAGTGCCAAGGAACAATATGTAGCCCCTCACTATTCACACCCCGTTAGTTCTAAGGGACAATATGTAGTCCTTCACTATTCTCCCCGTTAGTGCAATGGGACAATATGTAGTCCT